AATTCATGCAGCTGCTGGAGATTCTTAAGTTGATTCATTTAAATACCAATATCCTGAAACGGTTCTAAGACTGTTTCACACAATGTACTTAGCACGTGTCAGTGAGTAACGAAGTTCATGCCGTGAGGTTGCAGCATTGGAATTATTCTAGTCTATGAAAAAGCGTTTTGTCAGCATGAAGTCGCGCGATGACGATTAAGTTTTGGCTGGGTCTACCACCAGTTCTGGCCGAAGTTGTGTCCCAGAATGGTATATTGTGCTTCCTACCCTCTGATCAGAGGAATTCAGGTGATTGATTTGCAAATGTCAATTCCTGTTATTAATACATTTAATCCCCATTGTGCGGCTAAGTTTTATGTACTTGTAAGTATTCCATTTAATTTTCAATGTCCTTTATTGTCTAATGCTCATAACAGTTACTACTCTCAATGTAAGGTGCTGAAGATATAACCGTCATCGCACCACTCAGAATGACGTTGAACAAGTCAACATATAAGGGCACTATTCGTGCTATCGAATATTATACTTACGATCTGGACCTATTGGAACCATTCCGTGTCTGTTGACTATTGATTTTTGAAGAAGAATATTCAAAAATTAGGCATTTTCAGTTGCAGGGCAAAAATATCAGGCAACGGAAAAGATTTGCAGTTAACAAACAACGTCAAATTTCGAGACATCGTGTCTTCTTCAGGCCAAGAATAGTTAGTACACATTATATCAGTTTTAAAGAAAGCATGGCCCTATTACATGCTTCGGCTGAGGTGCGCTAGTCTATTAAGAAAGATGGTGTAGGAATACGTCGAGGCATGTATCAAAAATATGGTTCCTTATGCAATGCCAGTAATTCTTCTATCCATAAACAGTTATCACATCCGAGATAAGTTGTGTCCTGGCTCAGCGGATTACGTCACGAAATTTGAATAATATTGGTAGTTTATCTAATGATAAAAAATACGCTACAGTTGACTGAAAAAGCATATACATAGCAAGCATTCACTGTAGCCTTGCAGTCCTGATACCCGTTACCCTGAACCAAGCTATGATAAAAAAAAGCTCTTTATCACCCATCATAAAATTCCACAGAAAATCTGTTACTCCCAGCGTCTTATCTCATGGAACATATGCAGAATGAAGCTGAACATTTTTCTGAGACTTACTAGTGTGAATGACCTAGCTTTCATGCTAAT